TCTGGCTAGACCAGAGGATGTACACTGGTACAGATAGGAACTGGAAGCACAGGGAATCCAGGACGGATGATCCCTTCAGGACCATATGAGTGGCGATACTGGGAGTGTAGAGGGAGATTGGGTTGGAATGGGGGATCCGATTACAAGGATCTACATGTGACCTCCACCCTGGGAGACAGACAACAGAAGAGTGGGTGAAGGGAGACAGTGCAAGATATGACAAAATAATAATTTATGAATTATCAAGGGCTCATGAGGGAGGGGGGAGCGGGGAGAGACGGGAAAAAATGAGCTGATGCCAGGGGCTTAGGTGGAGAGCAAATGTTTTGAGAATGATGAGGGTAGAGAATGTACAAATGTGCTTTGCACAATTGATGTATGTATGGATTGTGATAAGAGTTGTATGAACACCTAATAAAGCTATTAAAAAAAAGAAAGAAAGAAAAAAGTCCTATAACCAAAACGTACCTGGAGACCTCAGGCATCACAACCGACTAGAACAGCTAACGCTCAGAGGGCCAGAAGGAGGGTCAGAAAGTGACATCAAAGGCAGCAGGCCAGACCTTTGGAACAAGGTCACAAGGTCCAGGGGATGGGAAAGGAGGCTATGCCTGGAACATTTTCCAGAAGGTACTTTCTTTTGCTTTTGGTCTGGAAGATAGTCACCAAAAATCGAGATCAGCTCAAACCCTTTTTAGCCCAATTTCCCAGAGGCAGTGTATCGCAGTGGTTAAGGACATGATTAAGGACTGAGCTTCTAGACCGATGTCAGGCAGTGCTACGCTCTGGCTGTATAACCTTGTGGCATCAGCTAGGAGTCTGCCCCCAATGTTCCCACAGTGCACACAGTATTCATCATTTGACAGACAAATTTCCCATCCAACCTTTCTCTCCATCTCCCCTAATGTGCTGTGATATTTATGGTGGGAATTTCAGGTCAGCGTAATGAGAAGTCAGAGTACATGTTTAAGGGGAGTTGGGCCTTGCAGGACCCCTTGAATCACAAGAATAGTGATAACATCCCTACCACCAACACACGTAGACACGCATAGTGTCTATGTTCAGTCCTGACTGTTGTTGGGTGTCCTTGGCTGACCTCTGACTCAGAGCATCTCTGTGCACTGCAGAACACAAACACTGTCAAATCGCCATCGGCAAATCAACGCTGGAGTGACATAGGGAGATTCCTACATGCGAAGAACTCTACAGTGATTCTTTTTTTTTTAACTCGTTTTATTAGGGCTCATACAACTCTTATCATAATCCATACATACATCAATGTGTAAAGCACATTTGTACATTCATTGCCCTCATCATTCTCAAAACATTTCCTCTCCACTTAAGCCCCCCGCCTTAGGTCCTCATTTTTCCCCTCCCTCCTCGCTCCCCCTCCCTCATGAGCCCTTGATAATTTATAAATTATTATTTTGTCATATCTTTCCCTGTCCGACGTCTCCCTTCACCCACTTTTCTGTTGTCCATCCCCCAGGGAGGGGGTCACATATAGTTCCTTATAATAGGTTCCCTCTACAGTGATTCTTTTGTGATAAAACAATTAGTCACTGACTCAACTGTTCTACCTATATAGATTGTATGCAGTACATCTTCCTAAAGCAAAGGTACTCATATTTAAAGATAGCCCAATTTCCAAAGATCCTCAAATGGTGACATGGCTGACATATAGTTCTCCTTTTCAAAATGGCCCTCAAGAATGGGTATGTTGTCTTCTGAAATAATTTGCAAAGTACATTTCATTTCAACGTGAATTTGATTATTTTCTCATCTTTTGCAGAGTGTACACAAGGCCTCCCTTCCTGGTACTGACGGTCATGAACGCAGTCTGCATTCTGCTGCAAAGGAAACCCAACTGGACTACAGCCAAGTTACTTCTTTCTGAAACGGGTTTCCTTAAAAAACTGATTAACCTTGACAAGGACAGCATACCTGAGAAGGTAGAAAGTTGACCCTTATTCTATGAATGGTTGATGCATTCAATACGTTTCATCTGTAGGAGCCAAATAGAAGTATATTCTATGTCAGAATTGGAGGTGAAAGTTGTAAGAGCAGAGAGCAAACTTCATATCAAAAATCAATAGGTTTCCTGGGTGGGTCAAGGAAAACATGTCACCAACACTGGAAAATGTCAGCGTTCAGAATGCCTTGAAATTATGAAGAAAGGGGAATTGAGAGCACAGCAGTAAGGGAACATCTTTCTCTGTGGATTGCACGAGGCAATTACACTATGCAAGTACGATAAGTGATGAAAGTGTCTGAGGTTTATTCAACAACTATTCATATAGCAGCACGGGGCAAGCACTGTCCTGAGCATTTTTCAAATATGAATTCATGTGGATGGAGGTGGGAAACAGACTGGACCACCAACAACATTTACCTCCTATATCACCACAATAATCAAGACAGCCTGGTCCTAGCAAAACAATGCATGAAAAACACCAACAGATCAGAATCAAGAGCCCAGAAATACAACCAAGTACCTAAAGACACCTGATTTTTTTAAATCGTTTTATTAGGGGCTCATACAACTCTTATCACAATCCATACATACATCAATTGTGTAAAGCACATTTGTATATTCATTGTCCTCATCATTCTCAAAACATGTCCTCTCCACTTAAGCCCCCGGCATTAGGTCCTCGTTTTTTCCCCTCCCTC